GTCGTCGTCGTCGTCGTCGTCGTCGTCGTCGTCCGTCGTCGTCGCTCGTGGTTCGTCGCTCGTCGCTCATCGTCGTCGTGCGCGCGGACGCGGCTCGCGCCTGTTTTTTGGTCCGGGCCGATGACAACAATCATTTGAGGGGGAAGGGGGTCGATGACGTCACGTTTTGCGCCGGCGGCGTCTGGGAATGCTTAGGAATGACGGAGAACGAATAGCACGAACATGTAGGTGGCGATATGCACCACAACGCCTGTGTACATCACAGTGGCCGCGTGCACCGCAGCGCCTTTGTACACCACACCGCCGATGTACACCACAGCAGCCGCGTGCAACACAGCGTCAGTTTGTGCCACCGTGCCTGCGGTCACAGCAGCTCCTGTGTACACCACAGCGCCTCCGTACCCCACATCACCCGTGCGCAACACAGCACCAGTGTACACCACAATGCCTGCGTGCATTGCAGTGCCTGTGTACGCCACGGCACCTGTGTGCACCACATCAGCCGTGTGCAACACAGCACCATTGTTGTGTATAGAATTTCAGAAGGGATCCTTGTGACAAAATGGAGCGCGTGTGGATTCCAGAGAAAACGATGGAAAACAAATCCTCATGGACAAAGGAGCGCCGCTTGAATCCACGAGTCCCCCCGAGTCCGCCCGCATCACCCTAACTCCCACTTGCGTCCAGGAGGCTCCAGCTAAACTGGCCGTCCGAGAACCGAGTGGACCGATTCAATCGACCATTCTGCGGTGCACGCTGAGATGCGCACGTGCGTTGTAACGCCAAGCCGCACGACAGGGGGTAAGAAGGAGGAAAAGGAGGAAAGGGAGAAGGAGGAGGAGGAGGAGGAGGAGGTGGAGGTGGAGGAGGAGGGAGGAGGGAAAAACTTCGCATTCGATTATCAGAACTTTCCTGGCGTGGCGTTTACTTGTCCGCAGCAGATCCTGACGTACATGCTCCTTCTACCTGTCCTGTGCACGCAGGCGCTGTGGTGTACACCAGCGCTGCGTTGCACGCGGATACTGTGGTGTAGACAGGCGCTGTGGCGTGCACAGGCGCTGCGGTGCACGCAAGCACTGTGGTGTACACAGACGTTGTGTTGCACATGGCTGCTGCGGTGTATGTACACCGGCGCTGTAGTGCTCTCAAGTATTGTGGTATACACGGGCGGTGCGTTGCACACGGCTGTTGCGGTCTACGCAGGCGTTGTGGTGCACACGCGCGGTGTGGTGCACGCGAGCGTTGTGGTGTACACAGGCGCAATGGGCAGATCGCCACTTACGTGCTGCTCCCGTCGTCGTCGTCGCTCGTCGCTCGTCGCTCGTCGCGTCGTGCGCGCGGGCGCGGCTGTGGTGCCGGAGCCACTCGGCGGGGGGGGGCATCAAGTCATACCCCCCCCCCCCCGCCCTCCCCCCCCCCCATGACGCCCGTCATCGCCGAACATAAAGAAACGCGCTCCTGGGGGGCTGCGATCTGCGACATTGTCGCCATTTTCGAGGGTTGCTGGTGGGTCCAGCTGAGTGAGGCACCGCGCAGATCTGAGCGGGAACTCGCCGTCCCTGGGGGGGCTGCGATCTGCGAAATTGTCGCCACTTTCGAGGGCTGCTGGTGGGTCCAGCGGGGTGAGTCACCGCGCGGATCTGAGCGGGACCTCGCCGTCCCTGGGGGGCTGCGATCTGCGAAATTGTCGCCACTTTCGAGGGCTGCTGGTGGGTCCAACGGAGTGATCTGAGGCACCGCGCAGATCTGAGCGGGACCTCGCCGTCCCTGGGGGGCTGCGATCTGCGAAATTGTCGCCACTTTCGAGGGCTGCTGGTGGGTCCAGCGGAGTGAGGCGGCACCGCGCAGATCTGAGCAGGACCTCGCCGTCCCTGGGGGGCTGCGATCTGCGAAAATTGTCGCTACTTTCGAGGGTTGCTGGTGGGTCCAGCGGAGTGAGGCAGTGAGGCACCGCGCAGATCTGAGCGGGACCTCGCCGTCCCTGGGGGGCTGCGATCTGCGAAACGGTGGCCAGTTTCGAGGGCTGCTGGTGGGTCCAGCGGAGTGAGGCACCGCGCAGATCTGAACGGGACCTCGCCGTCCCTGGGGGGCTGCGATCTGCGAAATTGTCGCCACTTTCGAGGGCTGCTGGTGGGTCCAGCGGAGTGAGGCACCGCGCAGACCTGAGCGGGACCTCGCCGTCCCTGGGGGGCTGCGATCTGCGAAACTGTCGCCACTTTCGAGGGCTGCTGGTGAGTCCAGCGGAGTGAGGCAGTGAAGCACCGCGCAGATCGGAGCGGGACTTCGCCGTCCCGGGGGGGCTGCGACATGCGAAACTGTCGCCGCTGGTGGGTCCAGCGGAGTGAGGCACCGCGCAAATCTGAGCGGGACCTCGCCGTCCCTGGGGGGGTGCGATCTGCGAAATTGTCGCCACTTTCGAGGGCTGCTGGTGGGTCCAGCGGTGTGAGGCACCGCGCAGATCTGAGCGGGACCTCGCCGTCCCTGGGGGGCTGCGATCTGCGAAATTGTCGCTACTTTCGACGGCTGCTTGGGGGGCCAGCGTAGCAATCTACAAAACTGTCACCATTTTCGAGGGCTGCTGGTGGGTCCAGCGGGGTGAGGCACCGCGCAGATCTGAGCGGGACCTCGTCTCTGGGGGGCTGCGATCTGCGAAACCATCGCCACTTTCGAGGGCTGCTGGTGGGGTGGGTCCAGCGGAGTGAGGCACCACGCAGATCTGAGCGGGACCTCGCCGTCCCTGGGGGGCTGCGATCTGCGAAATTGTCGCCACTTTCGAGGACTACTTGGGGGGCCAGCATGGCGATCTGCGAAACTGTTACCACTTTCGAGGGCGTCCAGCGGAGTGAGGCACCGCGCAGATCTGAACGGGACCTCGCCGTCCCTGGGGGGCTGCGATCTGCGAAATTGTCGCCACTTTCGAGGGCTGCTGGTGGGTCCAGCGGAGTGAGGCACCGCGCGGATCAGAATGGGACCTCGCCGTCCCTGGGGGGCTGCGATCTGCGAAATTGTCGCCACTTTCGACGGCTGCTGGTGGGTCCAGCGGAGTGAGGCCACGCAAATCTGAGCGGGACATCGCCGTCCCTGGGGTGCTGCGATCTGCGAAACCGTCGCCACTGGTGGGTCCAGCGGAGTGAGGCACCGCGCAGATCTGAGCGGGACCTCGCCGTCCCTGCGGGGCTGCGATTTGCGAAACTGTCGCTACTTTCAAAGGCTGGTGGCGGGTCCAGCGGAGTGAGGCACCGCGCAGATCTGAGCGGGACCTCGCAATCCTTGAAGAGCTGCGAGCCTCACGAATGCCGCTCGCAGAAATGTATGAGCCCATGTCACGTCATCACTTCCGTATAACGTCTCCCAAGCTACTCTTGCCCCGCAGTGCGCAGGGGTTGGGTACGTTGCCGGGGTAATTTACATAATTTGGTTATAAAGCGCATTGATTGGCAGGGCGTGCCACCTCCGCTTTTCGTTTTCGACGGGGACTTGCTCGAGGCGTGCGATTCCGTCAACCACCAGCTGGACGTACAACGCCTTGTTCAGAAGGGCTTCCAAAAGATCAGTTTGGCAGCGTTGTTCCGGGAAGTTCGGAAACTCCAGTCTCAAGTCAGAGTTGGAGAGGTGTCCAGTGGCGACGTCACCCGCACCAGATCTTAATGCCAAGGGGGGCCTGAGGCTCCAAAGGCGTTCAAAATTATGTTCGTTTTCGATATGATCTATTTCCAGACGGAGTACGTTAACCAGAAGTGGGGGGTCGAGGTGGACGGTGAGTTCTATAGTGTTCTTTGTTTCGCAGACAACGCCTGGATTCTCGATAGATCACAGGAGATGTTACAACATATGGTTCAGACGTTCATGAATATGCTGTCCAAGTTTGGATGGGAAGTGCCCCTTGGGGAGTGTTCGTGGTGCACGACGGCAGCGGACGATATCCTAATGACGCTGAGCGTGGGCGACAGGGTCATCAGCAGAATTTGCAGGAGCGACGGTTTCAAGGTGCTCGGCACAATCATCACCTTCGACAAGGAGTTCACGAATAGGGTCTCTAAGGCATGGGGGCGTTTGTGCAAATACAGATACCTGCTTACGCACAAGTCGGGGTCCGTGAAGAAGAAATTCCACCTCCTGAGCATGACGGTCAAGCCTTCTTCTTGTGGGGGTCTGACGCTTGGAACTTCAACGTCCATCAGGAAAGAACCATATCTGGTTCGCAAAGGAAGATGACCTGCCGCATCTTCAGCATCGCCAGGCAAGACCAGGACTCCACGGCCGATTACACGCACCGGTGCGAGGGCATCGTCTCGCGCACCATGGACCAGTATCTCATGGAGTCGTGGGTACAGGCGCGAAGAAACGAACAGTATGATTGGGCCGGGAAGCTCGTGCGTCATGGACTCCAGGAACCACAGCACATACCGTTTAGAGTCGGGAGGCGGCAAAGTGTACGGTCATACCATGGATTTGCTCGTCGCAATCGCGGCCGGCCGGGGCATCCCCATCGTTTCGGACCGCGGCGGTGGGAATCATAGATATATACAACTACGTCTACAAAAGGAGTTTTCTGTGGATCGCTTCCGATGCAGCTACTTGGGCTCAGCATGGTGAACATTACTTCTTTTTTTTTGCGCAGCCTGTTACATGCAGACCGGTCTCTGGGGCATACGCGATTACTTCAGCAGCACAGACTTAGAGACCCTGTGAACGGCTCTTCCCTCGTGGATCCTTGAAGCCGAGCCATCCAGCCAGCCTCCTCCTCGTTTTTCCTCCTGTTTTCGCCCTCCGCGACCTCCTGTCTCCCATCGTCCTCCTTTCGTCCTTCTCTTCCTCCTCGTCCTCTTCGTCCCTCGTCCTCGCTCATCCTCTTGTCCTTCTCTTCCTTTTCGTCCTCCTTGCCCCTCGTCCTCCTTCGTCTTCCCTTGTCCTCACTCGTCCTCCTCGTCTTCCTCTTCCTTCCTCGTCCTCATCGTCATCGCTGTCCCTCCTTCCCGCCCCAGTGACGCCCCGCAGAGGTAGAGGGCCCCGGCCCCGAACCGGCCTGCCATTCCTTGCCCTTCGAGCAGCTCGCGTGGCCGTTCGGCGACCAGGGGTCAGGGGGCCGCCGCCGCGGCAGCGGGGCGAGGCCCCAGACATCCGACACATTGAGAAATCAGCACAAAGTTCTTTCGTCGTTTTCGGCCTCGGGGTGCCTCCGTTGGGCCTCGGAAGTCGTCAGGAAGCGGCTCGAGGACGAAGTGCCGGTGGAGAGCGGGGCTTCCAGGGACCACGTATGGAACAAAATGATAACATCCGATGTCTGGGGTCGTCGTCGTGGTTGTCGTCGTCGTCGGTCGTCTCCTGGCGCTGGCTCCTGGTGGTGCTTGGAGGTCCCCACGGAGAGCTCTCGCACGTGCGCGTTTCCTGGCAGACCAGCACGGCCTAGAGCAATGGATCGAGATTATGAGGAGGCCCAGTCGTGACAACGGCGGTCGTCCCTCGCGTTTTTGTTGTTCCTGTTCGGGGGTCTGGGAGCCTTCTAGTCGCAAAGGCTGGACCCGCGTCGAAAACATTGGGCAGGATGGACCCCCGAACAGGTCCGGGGACAGATTTTGAAGGGATTTGGGCCCGACCGGGGAGCCGCCGTTGTCTCCACTGGCCGTCTTCCGAAGGATGCATCTGACGGCGAGACTGGCGCTCGCTGGCCGCTGAAGAAAGTGAAGTCATTCGTCTTGGGGGAGGCGGGCCTGGGCAGGGCGGAGGCGGACGAAGGGAGGCGGGAATGGGAGGAGCCGCCAGCGATCCGATTCGATACGGCTCGATTGGCGGACTGGGCCCGCAAATTCCGATTCGATTCGATGTGGCCCGATTCGCTTGCATCGGCCGGGGCCAGCTGGAGCCGAGCGCGGCGATCCGATGTTGATTCGATTCGGGGCGATTCGCTAGCGATCCGATGCGCTTTGGACCCGATCCGATTTCACGATCCGATCTGTCTCAGGCCTGCTAGGTGGGTCGGCCCCGCCGCCCAGCGTGTTCCTCGGCACACGACCGCCTCCGGCGCGGGGGAAGGCGCTTTGGAGAGCTGGCTACAGGGGCCGATCCGTTGACATTCCTCGCTGCTGCCCCCCGCTTTTCGTCCGAACCGAGCTTGCCGCTGCCGCCGCCGCGGAAGGGAGGTTGTCGTCGTCGTCGTCGTCGTCGTCGTCGTCCGTTGGTCGTCGTCGTCGTTGGCCGTCGTCGTCCGTCGTCGTCGTCGTCAGTCGTCGTCCGTCTTCGCCGTCGCCCTCGTGTCGTCATCGTCGTCCGACGTCGATCGAGGGTCGAGGATCGGGATTCGGTTCTCGAGGATCGACGCGTTTGTCACGCTATTTCTCGGTGTTGGGCTTCTGGAGACCTTCAGGGACCTCTGGGGAATTTGCGCAGAGAATTCTGAAGTTTTTCATCGATTTCAGAGACCTGATGACATGTGTCTTCGCCTTGCCATGAGCAACAAGAGTCCTGAGGTGTTTCGGCATCTTCGGTATCCTACGGCCCTTCCCTGGCTGCGGGACTTGCAAACAAAGTCTCGGGATGCAAATCTCTCTGGGAATGCCCTATGAATCAGGACCCGTTTCCCTCAGGACCTTTTTGGGGCGATGTTCCGCGTGTTGAGTTTCTTCTTGAGTTCGATCATCGTGTTCATATTGCGCACCCCCCTGTCCTCCCACGTATTTTCATCCTCCATAATCCCAGTCTTCGGTACCCTCTGACTTCATCCCTTGTTATTCCCCCATTCTTCCGTTGCGAGAGGGTGAACGCTTGGTGTCAATTGCAGGCGTCACGATCTCGCATGCTGGCGGAAGTACCTCCCCGGCAAGGAGCATTCCTTAAGCCCCTGCACGCGGAAGCGTTTCGTGCGCGTTGCAGGCCTCCTCGCAAGACCAGACCTCACTTTTTGCCTCCCTCATCAGTTGTATGCTCTCCCTCTCTCTTTCTCTGTGTGTATTCATGTATATATATATATATATATATAGATATATGTATGGATGCCTATGTATATGTGTATATGTATGCATATGTCTATGTAGGTATATAGTTATATCTATACATACATAAAGAGAGAGAGAGAGAGAGAACAATCAAATATCTCTCTCTCTCTCGCTCTTTCTCTATCCCTCTTTCTCCCTTCATCGGCCTCGGAAGTGTCTGGAGCGAGGCTTCCGGAAACAACGTAAATATTGTAAACATTGGATTGCCTTCCCCCCTCTCGCCGAATAGCTCTTTGTCTTCTGTTACTGATCTCTCCTCTATCATGTTCCATCTCATGATGTATTCCCCCTGCGTCGCCGCGTCGTCGAACATCCTCCCGTCATCCAGGGAGCAAGGGAAGTGGAGGAATGAGAAATGAAATGAGCGGAGGAGAAGGAGGGGAACCGAGGGGGGAAAAGGAGCGGGGGAGGCTGGTCAATAAAAACAGGAGCATGGGGAAAAGAGTGCGATGGAGAGACGGAGAGGGAGGAGCGAGACGAAGCGCAGAAGGCGAGGAAAACAACAGTTCCTTCTTTGCTTCCCCCTCCAGTCGCAGCCCCAGCATCCGCCCCCTGCCCCCTTGCCCCCTATGACCCCCCCTCTTCACTCCTACTTCCGCCTCCCTCTCCTCCCCCACCCCTGTATTTTTTGCACGCCTGTCTTTTCACCTCAGTCTCACACGCTTGCATCTGTGGGCGCTTCGGCCCCACCCTGTCTCACCCCCGCGGTGCAAGATGCAGGCCGAGTCCGAGTCTCCTCCCCCGCCCCCCTTTTCGTCTCCATTCGACGACGGCGCCGACGCAAACGACCCACCGAGGCATACGACGATGGCGGCGACGGCGACGACCCACCGAGGCTTCCTCCGACGCCGCCAACGACGACGCCGACGCCGACGACGAGGACGCCGACGCCGCCAATGACGACGCCGACGACGTCGACACCGCCAACGCCGACGCCAGCGGCGTCGTGCGCCGCGCGGTGCTGGCGGCGGCGCTGGCCTCGGCGTCGGCCTCGTGGCCGGCCGGCGCACCCCCGAGGCGGCGGCGGCGGCTCCTCGGGCAGCGGCGCCCCCGCGGGCGGGCTGCCTGGCGGCGCGGGCGCCGCCGCCTTGGAGGCCTTCGGCGGTCAGGGGCTCAGGGCCTTCATCAGCGATGCGGCCAAGTCCTCCGGCCCCATCTGCTCAGAACCCATTCGGAGGCCTCCAGACGCAGCTCGGACACCTTGTGCGTCCTGACCCCAGGAGGGGTCTGGGGATCGATTTTGAGTTGCCGCTGTCTGAATTCGGGCCGGACGTCTTGGGCAAGATTGGGGGGAGGGGTAAGCCCAGGGGCGGGGGGCGATGGTTTTCCATGATTCGTTCTGGAGTTTTCGAGACCTGGGGTGGTTTCCATGAGTATTCGCGCATCGTCGAGAGCGTGCTGAGGGCGCCGGAATCGTCCCGAACGGATTCCAGAGAGCCGAGCTATGGCCCGAAAATTTGGGAGCGGAAAGTCCGGGGCAACCGCCCACCGACGGCGGCGGCGCCGACGATGGTCAGCGGGGGCCAGTCGAGACAACGGTCACCCTCCCTGGCGGTTCTCGTCGTTTCTGGGCCTCCCGGAGACTCCTCGTCACCGCGGTTCGATCCGCCTAGAAGAACGGGCCAGGATCGGTTCAGGAGAGGTCATGGGACTGATTTGAGCAGAACTGGGCCGGGTAGGAGCCACCTCTCTCACTATTGGCTTTCCGAGACGACAAAGCCGACGCCGTTGCCGACGACAACTCTGCCGACGCCGGCGTCGACGGCGGCGGCGGCGGCGATAGCGTCGACGGCGGCGACGGCGAGGACTTCGGGTAGTCATAATAAAGATGACCGTCAAAAACGCACTACTCACAATCACCTTGTGGCGTTGGGTCTTCGTTTTGAAAAGACAGCACCCCGCGTTCCTCTTTCACCCTTTCCTCCTACCCCCCAGTACTCCCCAGCGCGCCTCTTCCCTCAACACATTTCAACGATTCCAGCACAACTCTCACACGTTTCTTTGCCCAATAGGGAAGAGTGCCACCGAAGGCCCCAGCGGCGGTGTCCACATGCGTCCCCTCATCAATTTCGGCATCCCTCACGCGTTTCGTGGCTCCATAGACAGCTCCACCGAAGGCCCCAATGGCGGTGTCGACGCGCACCCCCGCCACCCATTCCGGCACACCCCTCAAGCAATTTCTGTCCCCATGGCAAGCTCCACCGAATGCCTCAGAGGCACGGTTCGCATGCGTCCCCCCGGCCCACTTCGACGCCCCATTCACATGGTTCGTGGCCCCATAGGGAGCTCCACCGAACGCCCCACGGGCGGTGTCCACATGCGTCCCCGCCACAAGTTTCGGCACACCGCTCGCGCGCTTCGTGGCCCCTTAGGGAGTTTCTCCGAAGGCTCCACTGGCGATGCCAAATGCATCCCCGCATTTCATTTCGGCGCTCACTTTTCACGCTTCGTGCCCCCATAAAAGGGGGTTTCACCGAAGGCCCCAGCGGCGGTGTCCGCATGCGTCCGCACAACATATTTCGGCACACGTTTCCCGCGCTTCGTGGCCCCATGGGGAGCTCCACCGGAGGCCGCAATCGCATGCGTCCCCGCCACACATTCCGGCACACCGTTCACACGCTTCGTGGTTCCATGGAGAGCTCCGCCAAGGTCACAGTTGCGGTGTTCGCACGCGTCCCCGCCACCAATTTCAGCACACCCTTCGCGCGTTTTGTGGCGCCACGGGGCGCTCCACCGAATGCAACACTGGCGATGTTCGCGCGCGTCCCCGCCCAGAATTTCGGCACCCCCTTCACGCGCTTCGTGGTCCCATAAGGAGCCACCGAAAACCCCAGTCACTGTGTTCGCATGCGCCCCCGCCACCCATGTCGGCACACCCCTCACGCGGCCCCCGTCAAGAAGTGCCTATGGCCCAAGGTGCCGCTACCTTTCCGCCCCATTTTGGAACCAGCGGGGCCCTCAAGGGCACTTCACCTCAACTTCCGATGTCCCGTTCAATTGCAGCTGCAATGGCGGATGATCATAGCAGTGCGACCCCGAAGTTTCGGTCCGTGTGCCGGGTTTCCTTACCGGCCACTTGTTCAAGGACGGCTTCAAGGAGAACGACCTGTGGGCGAACATGGCGGCCAAGACGCAGCGCTCCGGCCACGGCCCCGACGCCATTCGCCAACCAGGTTTCCACGAAGCTATAGCGGCCGAGACCGAGCCAGCGACAGCGGCTGGCATCGCGGCACTCCAGCAGCTCGCCGCGTTAACCAACGTTCCGAAGGACCTCGAAATTGAATTCGGGACCTTCGACGGCAAAGTCGAGAACCTCGCGGTGACCATCGGCAGCCGATTGCTGACTAGGGTCTGGGGGGCACGGGGGCGAGCATCAGTTCCACGGAGAGGAGCGCCGAGAAGCTTGAGACCACGCGCGAGACGATGGCGCAGAATATTCCAGGAGGGGGCGCAATCGAGATGAAGATCCAGCAAGGAAGCCGTCTCGGAGAGCCCTTCCCTCAAAGACGCACCTTCTTTGCGCCGCGCGATGATGTCCAAGGAGCCCTCGAGCACGGTCGTCGGTAATTTGGGCGGCCCGGGGGGGCCTTGCAACGTCGACCCATTGATTGGCGGAGCGCCTCGTGGCCTTGCGTTCGCCAGCCCCGTCCAAGATTGACTCAGAGGGCGAGGTCATGGGCGCGCGGTTTGCCGAATTTGGCTCGGCGCGCGCGCGCGACCGAACCGGCGAGGCCCTCCGCGCCAACGCCCCCGCCAGCGGCGAGAATATGGCGCGGGTTTGCGACGGTCGCTCGCCTGCGAACAGGGCGGCCCGCAACTTCTGCAACTTTTCAGCTTTGGTTTCAAGCGGATCTTGAGGCGGGAGCTCAAAGTGCCGCGCGTCGCGAACGCGCCGGCGGGGGCTCCTGCGAGGCAGCGCTTTGGGGCGAGCACGCGTTGGCGGCCCTGCGGCTGATCTTCCGCACCTTCCGCAAGGTGCGGAAGGTGCGGAAGGTGAGGGTCGGTTGCTCGTGTCTTCGGATGTCTTCGAATGTCTCTGGATGTCTTTGTTGTCTGTGTGTGTCTTTGCCTGTGTTGTTATTAGTGTTAATTACGGTGCAAGAGGCAATGTGCGTTATGTGATGCTGGTGATGGCGATATGTCGTCTTGATAAGTGGGTTGCTGTTCATGCTGGTGGTGCTACTGCCACCGTTGCCATGCATTGTTGCTGTTGCTCCTAGCGCTGTTGTTGTTTCTTTTCCCGTTGTTGCGATGCATCGGTGCCGTTGCCATGCGTTGCTTGGATCCTTCTCTTATTCCCCCCCCTGCGGAAACGAGAGGATGAGAGGGGGATGAGCACGATTAGCGAGGGTAGGAAACGAAGAGCAGCAATCGTCGAAGTCGGAGTGGGGGTCGTCGTCATCGTCGTCGTCATCGTCTTCCTGATCGCCGTGGTCGGTGTCGGAGTCGTCGTCCTTTGAATCATCGTCCGAGTCGGAGTCGTCGTCGGAAGAATCGTCGTCGTTGTCGTCGTCGTAGTCGGAGTCGTCATCCTCGCCGTCGTCGTCGTCGGAATCGTCGTCATCGTCGTGGTCGTCGTCGGAGTCGTCGACATCGGAATCCTCGTCCGAGTCGCAGTCGTCGTCGGAATCATCGTCGTGGTCGTGGTTTTCGTCGTCGCGCCCAGTGACCACTTCATATTATTTGTTGACAAGGACGGCGGGGGTGCCCGCATATTGCAGGCACCCCCGCCGCCCCTACAGCCCCATGGCCCTATAGCCCTATGGCCCTATAGCCCCATAGCCCTGCTGCCCTATAGACCTATAGCCCCATGGCCCTATAACCCCATAGCCATACAGCCCCATAGCCCTATAGCTCAATGGCCCGCGTCGACCCAACATCGTGAGCTCCACAGCTCTCGGCTCCGACGCCCTACCGCCGACGCCCTGCCCGACGCCCGCCGCGCCGCGGCCACGGTCGATCAAGTCGCCGATGCCCTGCGCCGCCTGCCCATCGTGACGAAACACGGCAATCCGTCGCTCTGCGCCTGGAACCAGGGCGGCAGGAAAAAAGACAGGCCAGAGGGGACAACACTCCCCCAAGCCTGCCCTTTCTCCTCCCTCCTCCAATCCTCGTCCGCCTCCTCCTCCTCCTCCCCCCCTCCTCCCCCTCCGCCCCCCCCTCCCCCTCCCCCTCCCTCGCCCCCCCTCTTTCCTGTCAGGCGCCCTCCGCCGCGCTCCTCTCTACCTCCGCCCCGTCCCCCCTCGCCCCCGTGTCCCCCGAAAAGGGGGGCTCTGCGATTACCTCCTGACGTCGGGGTGGCACAGGGGTCTCGTGGCGCTGCGGCGCGCCGAGCGCTTTCTCATATTGGACATCGACACATACGAGCAAGCAGTTCACAAGGTGATCGGGATGATAAGGGCGAGGAGTCGGACGGTGCTGGGGAGGGGCAGAAGGAGGGGGACGACGAGGAGGAGGAGGAGGAGGGGGGGGAGGAAGAGGGGGAGGAGGATGAGGCGAGGGGACGATGAAGCGGACTATAGTGGGGAAGGGTGTGAGCGCGATGACGAGTGCGAGGGCGAAAATGATGGGGATGGCGGTGCTGATGGTGATGGTGAATGATGATGCCACTCGTGCTGATGATGCGAATGCTGCTGCTGATGATGATGCTGATGATGTTGTCGATGATGATGATGATGATGATGATGATAATGATGATGATGATGATGATGGAGGTGGTGACGATGACGATGTTGATGATGATGCCGATGGTGATGCTGATGATGGTGGAGCTGCTGATGATGATGGTGATGCTGCTGATGATGATGGCGCTGATCATTGAACAAAAAAAAAAAACGGAGGCGGAAGGCGGCGGTGGGGATGGGAGGATGCGATGCCCGAGGCGATCGGACATCTCGACGGCGCCACGCCGACCATCATATGCGCAGAAGCCAAGAAGATCCAGAACTTGGTCGCGGCGTGGCGCCGAGTGGCGAGGCGATCGGAGTGGGGGGAATGAGAGGGGGAGGGAAGGTGGAGGACGAAGATAAAAGAGAGGAACCGCTGCCGCCGTCGTCGTCGCCGTCACCGTCGCCGTCGCCGCTGCCGTCGTCGTCGTCGTCGTCGTCGTCG